GTTATCAATGTTCTCTTTTTCTCAGATTCCGGCCCACCACCATGCAGGGCTCAGGTTTTTTTTATCGTTTTTTCTATCAAATTTTTATTGTTTTTGACTGGAAATGACTCAGTTTTGAGTCGGAAAAAAAGTCTCGGATTTTATTAATTGTGTATTTTTCGCCTTGTTTCCCGTTTTTCCTCCTTGTTTTTTCCACTGTTATCATTGTCTTGGGCTGCTCTTAAAAATTTGTATCTATGCATTGATAAACAAGACAGGTTTCTACGGAAAAACGGTGTATTGACCTCTTGACTCGCCGAGACGAGTAGCAAGCACGATTTGGCTTCAAGAAGTTCCGTTTTCAATCAGCCTCAATTATTCTTGACTTCAGAAACGCTACCTTTAAAAGTGTGGGTATATTCCCTCTGACCCGCGGCTGTGAATGAGACCTGAGAAACTGTGAGAAAAGAGTTAATAAGGAGCCCGGGGAGACTTTGCGATCCTCTGATGCGCTGAGAACAAAAACTGTAAAGAAGGAAGAGAGGGGTCATTTCTTTTCTCTCTCATTTTTTTTAATTTAGTGTTTAATCCATGTTTATAGTCCATATTTATGTACGCCCAGCTAAGGTTAATGCGGGATCGATTAATGCTCCTGATTCGCCAAATGATGGCTTATGGCCAAAATGTTGAGCGATTGGATTAGCAAACCTAACCTAATTTGCAATCACTCGCTTAGCAAAGTGCTCAGCAAGAGCACTGCTCACCTAAATACACATAAATATGTGAATTATATTTTCGTCTCTTGTCAATCATTAGGCGAAAAAATTGGGCGTTGATCTCCGCACCTGACTTCTGAAATTGATAAGAAAAAATGCTCTTGATCCAATCGGATTTTGAATCACAGGAAATCTGCTTAAATTATGAGGCTCACTGGAAAAAAAATCCGCATGGATCAGGAGTCCAGCCTCATAATAATATTAACAAGAAAAAATACTCCTGATTAAATTCGATTTTTTCTTGAATTGAAGAGCCAATAAGCCTCATGATTTTGGCGGATTTCCTTTCGATCCAAGCAAAAAGTCCGATTGAATCAATATTTGTTCTTGTCAATCTTTTTAAGAGTCTGGACTTTAGACCCAAGCGACTTTTTTTCATAGTGCTTGGTTCTTGATTTAAGCATAACTCCGATTAAATCAAGAGTATTTCTCCTTGTTCATTTTTTTAAAAGCCTGGACTCCGGATCCAGGAGGGTTTTTTTCCGGTGCGGCGAAGTGGTAGGAATAAAGTTCGGCCTGAAATCTGGCAAGGTGGTGGAGATTTCCGGCGCGGTGACTCGAATAAACGCGGCGACTTACGGAAAGGAAACGCGGCGAGCGACAATGCACGCAAAAACTCGGAAACGAAAAACGAAAGGAAAACGCGCGAGATGACGGGATTGTTTGTTTTTGCCGAAGCGAAGCGCGGTGCTGAGTGGTCAATTGTGGCTCCCGAACGGGGTCACGGGAGCGTGGAAATTGGTCCTCGGATCGGATCCATTGTCTTGCGCAGGTGATATCACTCCCCCACCTATTGATATCACTCCCCGACCCGCTCATATCACTGCGGCTCCTTTTGCCTGCTTCGCCGGAAACGAAAGCTCCGGTAGCTTGTAAGAAGACCCGCTGGAGCTTCCGGAAGACCTCTCGGGGAAAAAAATGTGAAAAGTTATTAGAGCCTTGGTTTATCTTAATGCTCCAAAAAATACACATTACTAGATTTTTGTCGGTGTTGATTCTCACGAAAGAATGCAATATTCAACCTTTCAATAATGCCAAATTTCCTCTCACATTTTATGTTTTTATCAGGAGAATTTGAAGAATTTTCAATTGAAATTATGATCAATTTTTTCTCTAATCCCGTGGAAAACTCAAAAATATTTTGAGTGCAAACTAACTCAAAACTAACATTGAGCAGATATAATCTTCCAGTTTGAGTCAATTTTGGAAACTTGAAAGAGGAGACAAATTCTCACTTTGGTCCTTATAATACGTTCCTGCAGTCTAGTGGCGGTTTAAGACTTGGAGCACCGGGACACACTGTGGTTTTCATTACACACATAGACAAAATGAGTAATTCTTTTCCATAGGTAATTTTCCAATTGTTTTTCGAGGGGGATTGTTTCATCGAGTAACAACCTAGCAAAAGTAAAGGTTGACGTCTTGAATCTATAATACATTTTAATGTCGAAAATGTCCGCCCCGCACTTCTCATCGCTCCTTATGACTCCGCCCGGATGTAGATTTCAACACAGGGATTTCCTTAACTTGGGTTTTAACCACACACAATAGACGTAACTGAAGTGTGCGTTGAGGTGTCATTGTGAGAATCTCTAAAATAAATGCTGGAGCACAGTTCATTCACAAGAGCATTACGTTTTACGTTTTTACTCGCGTTACATCGCTGCCAAGTTCAGTCTAGTAGTCAAATGTGCATTATTTTTTGTTTATATCTATACATTTTTTCTTATACAAATTTTTCACTGATGTAACCTTTTTAGTTACTTAGTCACATATATCGACGACGTAAGTCCGCAACCTCGTATCCCGTTTGCAGTGTTTGTAAATCTCCGCCTGCATATTATTTTTTAAAGGAGAAAAAATTGACATCATTGCTTGAAGTTTTTGCAGAATTATCTTCGCTTAGAGAAGAATAATCACGGAAGTTTTAAGGAATTGCCGTTAAGTAGTTTTCCGTTTAAAAAATAAAGTATGGCAGGAAGACTGCGACGTCGCAAACCGGCACGTGGCTGCAAACTCACACCGTCGATATGGATGAGCTAACCCATTTGAAGATTTAAGAGGTGATTGTAATTATTTTTGGAAATGGAGAGATTATTCATCCCAATCCTCGTTATTTAAAGTTTTTTTGTGAAAAATCACGAGAGTAAATATTTCATCGCTTCTCCGACCTAAGGACGTGTACCGGGCGAAATTTCGACAAAGAGGGGGGAGGAGGAGTATCTGGTTAGCTGGAGGCACCAATAGTTACCCTATCTAAAAGGTCATTAAGTAACCTTGCAGCGGACTGATTACTAAAATTGATAGACAAAGCAATAGACAAGTAAGACACAGAGAGTATGGAACGATCTTATTGTGTTGAAGTGGGTGGTCACTATACATAGACTGAGGGAGAAAATGATGGACGAACCATGAGGTCTCTCGTGCTTTGCCTTTTGGTAGTCAACTACTTACCTCCTTCGTCCATTGCAACTACCCGATTCCACCAATAGAAACCCTCCATACGGTATGACAAAAGGGGTATGGGCCATACCCCTTTCGTCTTCTTTGTCTACAGCTTTTTCTATCAATGTCAATAGTTGCTCCTTCGTTCCTCCTAACTTCGTTATATACTTATCTTGAACTTCTGGAACATGCGAAAAGTTGATATTTCTTATGACATTAAATTCCTTTGAAAATTCCCGCGGCGAGCTTCGTGTCGCGGGTAAACCTTTGCGGTGAGGCAATTCGACAACTCGGAGCCCGGTTCATTGACAGAAGGGTATCAATGACGGGAGCCAGAACGAGCACATCCGGGTTGAGGCCATTCGATGTTACATAATGGCCGCGAGTGTCGACACTCCGACAGCCTCCGGATCGGACGGAGACAGACTACTTTCCTAGTCCAGCGTTCGAGTCTCCGGACCCCGGAATCGATGACGCACATCGGTGACGCCCCCGTTAACTCCTTTCTCCCCCACCTGCACCACGATTCCGGCTCGTGAGCAGAGTCACGGGTCCAGGAGCCGGATTCTCCCTGTTACCGGAAATCATCACCGAATATTCCCGAACTTTTGTCATGCAACATCTGAGCTTAATCGGATGGTGTACATGTAGTGAATGAGCTCGATAATGTGCGAATAGACCACTAGACAAAGTACGAATCTAAGGATTCTGATACATGTTTCTTAGCCAGAATTTTACGTAGAACACGATTCTTGCATCGAAAATTGCCGAAATTATTTCAAGCACGTTTGATGGGGTGAAATGAGAGCTACAACGCACTGGTAAAAAAAAACCTCTTGGACCAATGCCGCGGTGCGTTGACTTATAAGAGTGCAGTTTCTTGTCGCCGGATTTAAGAGTCTTGAACGCTTGTTTCAAGCGGATTTTACATTGATTCAATTCAAAATCCGCTTGAAACAAGAGTCCAGACGCTTAAATCCGGCGACAAGAAACTGCACTCTTGAACCAAGAGGTTTTTTTACCAGTGACTTACAATTGTTTTGTCCTTCAAAATATCGCTCACATGTTGCCATAGTCGCTCCAAGGCTTATCAGCCTCTAAGTCCAGGAGAGAACTATATCTATATTATCCCAAACTTGACCCTATTGAAGAACCATCTTATCTTAAATATGTTAAATGTTAAATATGTTGACAATGTACATCTAAAATCTACGAAAGTTTTGAAGGGAGCTGTGTGATTTGCGCACCTTTTATTTAACACTCAATTGGAGATTGTCAATGCACCCAAGATCTGCAGCCTGTTGCCCACCACCGAATGTGTTTTGAAAGGGCACTAAAGATAAGAGTGGTATAAAGAAAAGCTTCACGTGGTACAAAAATGGTTTAACGTAGGTATTGGTTTTTTTAAATGCATTTAAGGCAGTTTCCTTACGAGGACCCTTGCGCTTCGGACAAAAGAAAAAGGCTGCTCGTTTTGAAAGTGGAAATGCCACGAGCATCGCAAATTTAGGCACAAATTCATGTTAGGTAGATTTTTTAGTGTACCTCAAGCTTTCCCAAGTATATATTTTTGAAAATAGAAGATTTAAGTGGAAATGACAAGGGAGGTGCAAAGATTGTCTTACTTTAGCTTGAGTCCCCTGAGATGTGAAACAAGCCTGATGCTACTTGTACACTTTTACATAGTTAGCACTATAGATTTTCCTTTTTATTCGTCGTACATATTAACTACTTTCCAGCAAATTCTGTTTTTTCTTGGAATTCAATTTAATGGCAGACTTTTTTTCTCATTTGTTGCAGTGATTTCTTAGTGATCAGGAGGTTACGCTGCATAAGTGTGATTAGAATTGAAAGGAGTTATCACAAATTAGAAGTAAGTGACAAATTTTTCCTCATTCTTAATGCAATTCATTATATATTCTTGATGGTAATCCTGTCGTCTTGAACTTGAGAACTATAAGAATATTCCCTCCTCAGACTCATCAATCATCTGATGAGTGCTGTTTGACCCAAAAAATAAACTTAAGTGCAACTTCGGATGATTTGTCTCTGTCAGTTTGAAGCAGAGAAACTGATTACCGGATGCTCTCATCAAACTGATGAATTTGAGGAGTGTCCTGCTCACACCTTAACATCAAAACAAAATGAAGTTCTCCAAAAATGCAAATTGGAATTTGAGTATAGGTGATATTCAGTGAATATATTGGCACATTCGGCAGTTGTATACATTGACAAATTAGAGAATTTGCACGTGTCTGAAATTTGATGAATTTTGTGTTTAAGTGAAAACTACGGAGTGTACTGATCACGAGGATACCCTAGGTTCATGAGTTGGACAGTTAGTGGAGAATATATGACAAAATGATCTAATCTGATGAGATACATGGGAAACGCCACCAGATGACGACGTCACTAGGCGGTGCATTTTCTCACTTTGAATATAATTTTATACTGTTTCCCATGTCAGAAAAAAAATAATAAAAAATACTGTGAAATCAGCACTTTCAGATGAGGCAATAAACAATGTGCATGCAAATCCTCCATTGACTTTTCTGGTGGCTTTATTGAGATCTATTACAAAGCGGCACTGTATCTCCAATAAAGTATTGAAATAAATGCAATTAATTTGGTAGTTGCTAAATCCTACACTGGAAAAAAAAACACATTGGATCTAGAGTCCAGACTCTTAAAAACATCGACAAGAAAAAGTACTCTTGATTCAATCAGAAATTAGCTTAAATCAAGAACGAATTCTCTTAATTTAAGCGGATTTCGTTTTGATTCAAGCAAAAACCCGATTGAATCAAGAGTATGTTTTCTTGTCAATTTTTTCAAGAGTCTGGACTCTAAATCCAATGTGGTTTTTTCCAGTGATACAAATTCTCCAATCAATGAAAATATTTGCAAGTAAGACAAGCGCTGATAGAACAGTAAAAATGTCAACATAATTTTACACGTGTCAGTGAACATGTGAACGGATCAATGCACGTATCGATGCAATTTGTATCTACAAATTTGCGGTTAAAATCAGGAAAACCCGTTGTTATGCCGATCGAAAGTGGCGGTGGCGAATAATTTTGGCACAAATTGTCAGCAGCGCAGCCGGCGCGAGCTCGCCGATGCTTTTAAAAGATTTCTATTCGAGAATTTCAAAAACGGGAATCCAGGTGATTCACCGGGTCCTCAGTGAAAGTTGCCGAGGGTAGCAAAGCCAGCAGATGTCCGTGGTAGTATGTGGATGTATCAACTGTGTGCGTGTGTGTGCGTCGCGGCTCCCGCCGCGCACAGTGGATCGAGTCAATTAGAGAAGTCGGACATAAATTCGTTGACTAAAACTGCAAATTTCGATGTTTATTCCGTCACATTTTAAATTTTTAGGGGGTACCTCTGAAAGAAAATTCCACGAGGAAACCAATTGAGCCACTTTTAAAACCTCAAAGTTTTGCATGGACAGAGTTACAAGCTTTTAAAGTTTCCGAATTTTGTCCGACCTTTCTCATTGACTCGATTCATCGTGCGGCGGCCACAGAGCACCGACCGGCGACCGCGTCTCCATGTACAGCCACCAAGTTCATCGTTGCGTTACGTTGCCATTCAACGCAAAAACCTCGTAACTTTATCCTGCCCTTCTGAGGAAGAACGTTGTATGAGCATTGGAATGTCGCCAATATTCCTCCGCGAAAAACTTTGATTTTTAAGGGAAGTAATGAATGTTCCACCTTAAAAGTATCAGGTTCAATAAATCACTTCACTGGAAAAAAAAAAAAAAAAAAACACACATTGGATCTAGAGTCCAGACTCTTAAAAACATCGACGATAAAAAATACTCTTGATTCAATCAGATTTAAGCTTAAATCAAGAACCAAGCCTCTTAATTTGAGCGGATTTCATGAATCAATTTATTTCAAATTAAATCTATGAGCTAGTCGGTTCAAAAATTTCATTCCTTCTCATCCTTTTTTATCAATCATTCCTTTTTTAAGTTTGACTGTACGTGCTACATTCAAAACTATATTTTAACAGCAATTTTTTAGCCGATTCTGACTACACACTAGACGTAACGATCGCTTTCATTGAAACTTTTCTTCTTTTATTCTCGCGCTTATTTGTAACCACTTTAGAATTAACTGACCAACCGATGGGTCTGACTATGATCAAACTCGTTCGAAAGTGGATTCACGACTCTGATGAGCTCATCCAGCAGCAGCAGCTTGCAAAAGTCTTACTACAATGATGTATTCACACATCTTTTATACAGTCTACATCAGCCCCGTTTTCTCCAGGGCTGCCACTTCCGTATTTTCTTTTATTTCAGTTACTTAGGTGTAAAACCGCCCAGGTTTACATCGTTTTCATGAGAATTTAAGGTATGTCAGCTGTTACAGGAATAAAATAGTTAATCTTAAAACTATTACAGGGCGATTCAATCTAGTTGTTGCAGTGAGTTACGAAGTACTGATTTAACTTAAGACGGTTAACTAGATTAGGAATAACATGGTAACTAGTTTTAAAAAAAATTCGAGCTACAAGCCAAAAATAAATTAAACAAGTAATATTTTAAACAACATGGAGATGAGAGTTAATAAATATACTTGAAACATTACTTGTTCAATTTATTTTTGGCTTGTTGCTCGATTTTTTTAAAAATTAATTACCATGTTCTATGCAGTTTAGCCAGCCAGATTTGGCATTAAATGTATTAGAATGAACCTTTTTATAAGCCTCTAAATGAGTAAGCCAACGGACTTTTAGGGAACATTACCATTTACATCATACCGATAATTGGATCGGTTTCTGCTGGACTGGAGTAAGTCCAAGAAACCATGAGCCCTAGCTTTCGTTGATCTCGCAGTGCGTTAGGGCTCATGAGTTGGGGCCTACAACGCCGTCTAACAGAAACCAATTCAATTAGAGTCGGAACGACATGATGTATATCTAAAAGAGGTCGGATAAGAGCTCCAAGTTACGATAAATTAATCCAAATTTAAAGAATTTTATTTTTTTTATTTTTTCGGGTAATCATTTTTGGTCAATATTTTGGAGAAGGACTGATCGAAATAAGGTGTATAGAAGAGGGGAACTCCTCTTAGCGCATAGCATTAATACAGAACGGGGACTAGTTCCTTCCTGGTCTTACCAAGGAGAAAAAAAAAGACTTCGTACTGCTTCTGTTTATGAAATCAATCATTAAGTAGGGCATCGCAAGTAATTTCAACTTTTTCCCCCTCCAACAATATTTTTTGCGCAAGATTGTCAAGAACGCGGAAAAACTACACATTTGATCATAAGCACAAGAAGGGAGAGCAGTGACTTTTTTCGACCAGCCGACAACTTCTGCGTTAAGCTCAGGCCGGTATTGATGCATTGAGAACCGTTAAAAACGTTGCAAGCTAGACAAAGAGATGATCCTTCTTGGCGATGGAATTGAGTGTTTTGGGCAGGTGTGGCAATAGTGGAATTCCCTCACCTTTCGGTTTCGTTTAGAATCCAGCTCTAGCGGGCTCTTTCTCTTGGTGGCTCACAATCAGTTCTTTCCGTCCGGTCAGTCAGTGCGTGTGCCCGAGCTGAAAAGTGCAATTTAGTAGTGATCAGGAAAATAGTTTACTCTTGCGCCGAGGACTTACTCTCCGAATCCAACTCACAAAAGAAGTCGTTAGCAAGTGATAATCTAGCCTGACATTAAAGAAGAAGAAAATATTTTTATACGTGAGTTGATCTAAATATTTCACTTCTGGCTCGCATGTACGCACAGTTATTAAGAATTACCCTTGTAGAGTCTTTTTCTCTTTAGGGGTGTTCATCGAGCTTTCCATGCTTCAATTCTCTCTTCTGCACAGAAACTATTCTCTTTTCCTGCGTTAGACGCTATAATAGAGCTGACTTAGCCAGATGATCAACTCTTAATTCACTAGAAACTTTCAAATTTCTTGAATTTTTTTTTATTTTAACGCGGAATGTGCGATTTCCAGTGAGAAAGAAAGAAAGATGATTCAGTGAAGATGGTTCCATATTGAAAATATGACGAAAAAAAACGTAACAGAGTGGAAAACCAAATGAAGAAAACAAACAAAAATGCCTGGGAGGTTCCGGTTTTTTTCGTGGTAAACAGAAAAAAAATTATAAAGAAAAGCCTTATATTTTCTTTCATGCAGAATCAAGGAGTTATCAAAGTTTCAGAATTACGAGTAGGGCTCAAAATAATCCGCTCTCTTTCATTTTTTTACAGATTAAATTTTACTGCTTAAAGATCCAAAAATACTTTAAATTTTTTTTTAAAAAAAAATGAAATTGCCATAATATCTTTCTTTTTGAAATCAGAGTCGAATTCATACCTGTTTTCAAAATTGAAAAGACGTTGGTGATAACTATTAATAGCAGTGGCGTGGCGTGAATTGCGATGTATCGATTGTTATGCCATTTAAACCTATGGTAGAGAATCGATTATAAAGGCGTTCGCTGCGAACACCCTTTTAATCGATCCTTTTCCATAGGTTTAAATGGCATAACAATCGATATATCTCAGTTCACGCCACGCCACTGATTAATAAATGAGCATAAACCCATTCAAGCACCTTTAGACACCACTAATACTCCTTGGCCCATCGACCAAAAGGTATAGAATTTTTTTAGAGTTCTAATTATGACAGCCAAAGGACAAATATGCATTTTAGCCAAATTGCTATATGTTTTACGATTACAAATTTATGGAATGGGCAGGTCCCCTGTTTTATTGCATGAAATAATGCAGGGTCACAACTTTCAAACGATTTTCAACAACAGCTGTATTCCTCTTGAAGTAAATTATTGTAAGTCTTTGAAAACGCTAAAAATTTGACTGGCTGCACGGCAATATCTGTAATCTTCAAACCACCC